ATTGCAATCCTGGGAGGGATGCCCTTCCATCTCAAACTGTATTCTTATTTTTTATATTGTGTTAGGCAGCAAGACTTAGGATGGAAGGAAATCATTTCTTATTGTCCCTCCTCCCAATTTAGGGGCTCTAAAGGGGGCTGTAAAATTAATCACAAAGGTTATCATTTTCTAATATCTTATTATGTACCAAGCACAGTACTGAGGGCTTACATTTAATCGATATGCCATGCCCTCATGGTGAATAGTCAGTAGGCACGATTAGCACCATTTTGCAGATGAATAGACAGAGGCACAGAGATGAACTGGCTGGTTCAGTCTGACAGTCATATGAGCAAAGGCAGGCATCCTCGGCTGGGCTGACTACGATAGGCCCGGCCACTACGATACACTGCATGCTGGAGAGGAGCTATGAACACATCACATATTTTCCTTCCTCTGCAAGCTTCCTGATATGACGTCATTGCCCTGAGCTGAAAGCCGGGTGAGAACACACAGTCTGAGCCCAAGGGGATGAATGCGGGGTGAGAGTCAGCATGGACAGTTTTGCAATCATCTCACATCTCACAGCTGGGTCCCCATCTGTGAGCTCTGAGCCAGGCAGCTCAGGCAGTGCTGGAAAAATGGCACCCACTTCCCCGGCCTCACCCCTCCCCAGGAAGCAGGGGTGGCGGTGGGGGAGATCTCTGGACTCAAAGAGTAACTCTTTCTTCCCTCCCCAGCAGGAGGAGAGAGACATCTAACTAACAAAGATGTCTTCTCCTTTTCCAGGTGCCTGACAAATAGCATTAGAATAGATAACGTTTATTGAGTACCTAAGTCCATTAGCTCATTCAAATCATCAGTTTATTTTACTTACTTTACGGAGCTTTGAAAGGTCTTAAGTAGCTCGTCCAGTGTCTCACAGAGAAGAGGGACAGCCTGAGTTTAAATCCAGAGCTACACTGTAACCACTACAATCTACTGCTCCCCTCAACATGTATTATTTCATTATGTCCAAGATGTTGGACAAAAGGCTTCCAGCTCCTGGGGCTCCTTTGCTTTGCACCTACCCCCATCAAAAGCCACCCGTCCTCCCTGTCCTCTTCCTTCTCTGCCAGTGCCCTGCCCACCACTCTGTCTCCCCAGTCTGGCTGCAGGGCAGGGTCTGCTCCAGCCTGTTGTACCAGCCCGTTAACCAAATGGCTTATGGGGTCTCTTGTAATTACACCCATTCCCAGAGTTGCTTCATTTGGTAAAAACAAGCTGTGTTTATCTGGGGAGTTTGTGTTTGGGGAGGAAATTTTTTACACCCTATCCTTCCATCACTATCACCTCAAACCCTGATCTTTGGAGAATTCACGTTATAGAGTCTGTGTAAAAAAGTAATTTAGATAGGGCTTCTTCTGGCCCAAGAGCAAGTATGTCAGGCTCTGTTCCCAGCACTGCCACTGGCTGCTTCAAGCCCCTCTACTTCCCAGTCTCATTTTCTCTCTCTACATTAAGCAAAAATGAAAGGGCCCTCCGAGGGACACAATGAAGAGGAGAAAGATGATATCTAAAGAAAGCCTTGCATTCCTGAGACAAAGAAATGTTCTCCATGAAGTTAAACCAAATACTGCCTGTAAAGCATTTAGCTAGTTCTTGGCACATAGTGGGAGCTCAAGAGCTGTATGAGGCATCAGGCAGATGGAGTGGGCTGGAGCCAGGGACACCTGCAGAGTCTCATGGGGCTGGCTGCTGGTAGGAGAGTGCTTCCCTGAGTTTGCCCGCACGGGACAGTTGGTGGCATGCCACAGCTCTCAAGTGACCTAACTGGGACTTTTCTGTGTAGACAAAGAATTGTAAGAAATTCTTATTTGCATGGACTGGGGAGTTTGTTTTTGTTAGAAGCTGCATGTCAAGACCCAGAAGAAAGAAGCATTTCTTAATAAAAATTAGTCAGCTATATCTCAAAGAAGAAAGGAAAACAATGAAGGGAATAAGATGCTAAGGAAACGAGGGGAAAAATAATCTCCCAAAGGCGGACCCACCTAGTAAACCTTAGAGCATTTCCTCTTACCCACCTACATAAAAGTGACCAGCCCTTTCCAAGTGGCAAGGAGCTTGGGGAGAGAAGACACAGGTGCAGCTGGGAGCACCCAGTGAAGGTGAGGCTCCTTCCGGGCTTCTTCAGAGGCTTCGCTGTCCTAGCCCTCATCCTTCACAGCTGCAGAGAGGTGACCTGTTGTCATTGTGTATGGCCTGTGATGTCCCAGTGCTGGACATTTTGTAGAATGGAGAGGGGTACTCCATTCATCCAGAGGATGAACTTTCTAGTACCTTATTCTCAATAAGAAGAGATGGAGAGTGAGAAGGAAGGAAGGAAGGAAGGAGGAAAGTGAAGGGGAAGGACTCTAACGTTTACTATAACCTTTCTGTTGTAGGAATTGTGCTGGGAACTTTATATCTTTTTTTAATCCTTTGCAGTATTAAATATTTTTTTAAATGTAAGGAGTACCACTGGTTCCATGGGACCTGATCAGAAATGTGTTCCTGTTTGTCTGGTGTAAGGGGGTCTGCCGGGATCTCCAGCTGAGACCTCAGAGGAAACAGTGCTGTAAATGGGATGGTACAGTGGGAAGGAGAGCAGGCTCCAGGGCCAGGCTGCCTGTCTTCAAATCCTGGCTCTACCACTTGGTGGCCACGTACCTTGGGCAGGTACCTTCACTTCTCCAAGTGTCAGCTCCCTCTTTGGTAAAATGGGGATAGAAACAGAACCTGCCTCACAGGGTGGTTGTGAGAATTAAATAAGATAGTTATGGAAAATGCTTGACACGGTGCCCAGTGCATGCACGTATGATAAGTATTAGCTGTTGTCTGAATCAGCCAAAATGTCTGGAATCGCCTCACCAAGCTAAAGGAGGCATTTTTCTCCTCCACAAAATGTCTGAGGCTCCAGGCACGGGGTGAGCAGGCAGTGTCCCATTGCTTCTGAGAGTTATCTTGTCAGAAGAAAAACTATGCTCTCCTTCTAGTCACTCGGCTTTCTAGAGGCATCCCAGTTGCCTTTAGAGGGGATAGAGCTTTGGGGGACTCTACAGACTGCCCTGCCAGTGGGGTCTATTTTCTTGTTTTGCCACAAAAAGAGAGGTTGGAAAAAGAGAAATTGAACTCTTTAGCAAAATGCTGTTCCATGGTGAGGTCTCAGTGTGTACCTGTCCACTCACTGGAATGATGCTGAGTTAAGGCGAGATGAGGGAAAATGTTTTCTAAACAGGATTTGCTGTTTCTTGGCTTTCTGGAGAAGAGCCCGGGACTCCGGAGGAAGATCTGGGGAGTGGTGGTGGGGAGCGGGGACAATGTGGTTCACACTCGCCCACATATGTCCCTTATAACTACAGCAATTACAGCTATAGTTAGGAGTTGGTGGGGTCTGCAGCCCCCTCAGCTGGCTTCCTATGTTTGGTGCCTCCCTCTCTTCCACTGCCACACACGCTACACTTACCCCAGCACCCACATGGCTGGAAGTGAGAGCATTTGGTGGGCACCATGGAGGATGCTGGCCAGAGGACTGGTCTCTTCACTGGCGTTGTCACAAGGCTTATCTTTCAGGTGAAGCTCTGTGTGTGAAACTTGTGCTAGTGCTGGAGAAAGTCTGAGAAAGAGAACTCAACAAACTGTACAATTACATTGCATGCACTTTTCTCAATGTGTGTTATATGACACCACTTAAAGTGGTTAAATGAAAGAGACAGAGAAAAGGAGGGATGGCAGAGGCAGGAAGGATGAGAGAATCAGAAGAGGCAGTGATAAATAAATGGCAAGCAATAGGATATATTGGAGCATATGAGGAAGCCATTTGGTGTAAAACTAATTCGTCCTGACCTTGTTTTTCTAAAAAGGGCCTGTAGCCTCTGTTCATTCATTGTATATCTGCTTTAAGCAATTAACATGTCCCAAAGACAAGAACAAATGCCCTTAAAATATGGATGCAACTTCCCCCACACTGACATTTCCTTAAGGATAAGCATTTCTCCCTAGGCTAGGATTTGATTGCTGCGTTTGTCATGTGACCACCCAACTTGAGGCAACAGACCTGCCACCAGCCACGCCCATGGAGACAGCAGACCTGATACCTGCTGTGTCCATCAATCACCATGCCGACAGGTCAGTCTCACGACTATTGTAAGAGGGACACTGCAATCATATGTGATACATGCTCTTTGATGGTATATAACCACTCTGTACACCCTACTTCTTTGGAGTGCTCCATTTCTTTGTGAAAGGACTCTCCTGGGCTATACGGTCCTCAAAAGTTGGCTCATAATAAACTCACCCCAATTTTGATTTATAGATTGGTTATGGATTATTTGCATCGACAGCAGCAAGCATCTCAGAGTCTGGCCCTGCCTAGGGACTAGCTAGCAGCAAACATGTCCCTCAGACCCTCTGGCTCAGTGGGTGATGGAGGGGAAGCCACCAACTTGCTTTCTGCAGGGGTCTCTCTCTTCACCATGGTTAATTAGTTATTAGGAGATGTCTTGTGCCTCCCTTTCCCATCTTCTCCAGAAGGTGACATCAGCATAGCTGGCTTCAAACAAATGATTTTAAGCAGATACACATTAGGGGTTTATAATAAAAGGGTGTCACCTATTTCAAGGGCAAACATAAAAAACCAAATGTGCTTTTATGGTATTTCAGATCTGTTGCCTAATTCCTAGGGTGTATTACTGACTTTGTTTTTCCTATTTAATTTATTAAAAACAATGCTTTTCACCCCCGTTGACAAAGTGAGCTGTACTGAGTCATAAGAAAGTGATATACACACAATGTACTCCTTAGGACTTGAGAGAACACTGCTTCTGGGGGTGGGGTAGGGACATGGGGGGAGGGGGGAGCACTTGCATTCAGTTGATTCAAGAAAAGCAGAGGAGAAGACACGTGCCCCTGGACTCTGCAGGCTGAGATATTGAGTCTGTTCTGTTGGTTGCCGTCTGGCTGCCCTGCCAGGTCCACAGGGACCCAATCGGGGGTCTCTCACTGCTCTCCACTCTTGGTTCCAGCTGACTTCCACCTCTTCATGCAGGACATGAAGGCACGGTGTGTTTCCCTCCGGATCCTGGGCGCGACGCTCTTGCAGTGCTCGGTGCACGGCCGAGGTCTCAGGAGATGTCTGATTTCCACGGATATGCACCGCGTAGAAGAGAGTTTCCGAGAAATCAGAAGAGCCATCGTGAGTACGGGTTTGGGGTGAAGTTGTGGGCAAGGGGGCGTGCCTCACCCTACATTTTAACTTGGAGAGCAAGTTTCTTCTCATTATCTTTTGTGTCTCAGGAGGACACGGAGTACTCATTGCTTGTGGCTGTCCCTATGTTTCCCTCCACAGCAAGCTAAGGACAGCTTCCAAAATGTCACCATCCTGTCTGCATCGGAGACCTTGCACAGCATTAAAACATTGGCCTGCCTGCTCTTTCCCGTATTATTTTATGGTGCAGTGGCCCTGGGCTGAGAAGGAGATCTCTACGCTCTTCCCTCATCTCCGGTGTTGTCTCAGTGCTCCAGGCTTCTCATTTGTCCACTGATGTGGTAGGTCACATTCGTGTCTTGAGGACTTTGAAACCCCTGGGAGGGATTCAAGAAGCGCCATTAACGTGGAGAGTGATTGGGGGTGCCACACACTCAAGTGGGACAGGATGGCTCAGGGGGATTCTGGAAGGTTTCATGGGGAAGCTGAGAAAATGAGCAGTGACTTAAAAGCTGAGTAGGCTGAGTGGCTAAAAGGGAGGAAGGGGTTTGGGGAGCATGGGAGAATGTGTGTAAGATCCAGGAATGTGTGTCAGGGGACAGTGAGGCAACCAAGCTGTGGTGTGAGGGACACGAAGGTGAGCGGAAGAGGCTGAGGAGGAAAAACACTCTGGAATCATTTTACCAAGAACCTTAAAAGCCAGGCTGAATCTCAGCCTTATAACAGAGGCAGTAGGGAGTCACCGTAGGTTTTTGAATCAAAGGCTATATGACCACAAAATCTTTTAGAAAGACAGTCTGGTGATGCTCTTTACAGTGGACAACTTGAGGCAGGAAAGCTAATGAGGAGATCGGTCCAATTGTCCAAACAAGAGGCAGTAAGAGTGTGTTCTGAAACACTGACTTACAAGGTGATAATTCAATGAACGGAAGGTGCCACTGAGAAGTGCCTTTACATGTGAGCTCCTCCAGTCCTTGTAAACATTCTAGGAAGATCCAGTTTTTTCAGGTATTTATGAGACAGAGTGTAACTTGTATCTGCAAGGAGTTACTTTTTCCTTGGGCTTCTCTGCACAGATTAATTCTTGTAGGCGGTACTGGGCCCAATTTATTTGTGAACACATGTAGCCACTTACTAAATGCTATTCCTGCCAACTGTATAAGAGACTTATAGGATATCCCAGCTGGAAGGGACCCGAAAGGCCATCTATTCCAAAAGGCCATCTTTTTCAAATAAGCAAATTGATACCTACGAGGGAGAAGGACAAGTTAGTGGTTGAAGCAGGAATAGACCCCCAAGTCTCATGCCTCTGTCTCCAGATTCTTTCCCCTCTCAAGGTCTAGAGATAGCTGATGTGGCACAAGGGAAGGGGTCAATGAGGACACAGGTCTCTATCATAGTTCCTCCCTCCCTGATAAAACAAAGGTGTGCAACTTTTTGCCTCTTTGGTTAAGGGAACCAGCAGGAGTGGACAAAGAGAGGGTTTTTGTGTTGCAGGTAGAGTTTGCCATCTAGGAAAAGCTGCCTGTGGGGCCTAGGAGGCTTGCTGCTTTAATGCTAATGAAGATGGAAGCACTGTCCCACTGTAGACCCCGCCCTTCTCACACTGAGCTATAAATCTCCTGCAGAGTAACTCACTGCGCTCTAGCGCTCTAGCGCTGCTCTCGCTCTGGGGGTGAGGTGCAAACTGCTAGAAGAGAACTCAGCCTGGCCATCTGCCCTGAGCTGTGCTCTGGGAATTCAGGAGCTCTCCCTTAGAGAGATCTGCACTCTGCCAGCTGCAGACCTGCCCAGATGTATGATTTCTGCAGCTGTTAGTTTCCATCCTTGCAAATCTCAGCTCCGTCCAAATGATCCCTGCAGTTGAAAAACGACAGCCAGGAGAGAGCTGAGCAGGGCGGCCAGGATAAACACAATGTCATTACGATGGAAGGTACACGCCCAGCACACGCCTGGCATGCAGCAGCAATTGAACGGATGGCTGGGAGGCGTGTTGATGGATGGGAGATGTCACAGAGAAGCAGACTTCAGCACAACGTAAGAAAGTACTTTTCAAGAAAGTGGCTCAGGGCCAGCCCCATGGCTTAGCAGTTAAGTGCGCGCGCTCTGCTGCTGGTGGCCTGGGTTCGGATCCCGGGCGCGCACCAATGCACCGCTTCTCCGGCCATGCTGAGGCCGCGTCCCACGTGCATCTATGACATACAACTGTCTACTGAGGCTTTGGGGGAAAAAAATAAATAAATAAAATTAAAAAAAAAAAAGAAAAGAAAGTGGCTCAGACATTGGTCCTTTCAATAGAGAGAAGCCTGCTTCTTGGAAGGGTTTAAGCAGAAGTTAGTGAAGACATGTTGCAGATGCTGTAGAGAGAATTCTAGTCCATGACTGGGCTCTATCCCTTGTGAATATATCTCCTGGCCATATAAAAACAGGGGATGAACGGCAATCTCTCCTCAGTGCCTTTTCCACAGGTAGCTTTGACGTGGTAAGACGAGATGGATGCTCGGAGACCAAGATGAATTTTAAAAAAATGACTTTTAGTTATCTCGCTCCTTACTGCCCCTACTCACATAGGCTGCTTTCGTCTCTCAGATAGTAAGAGACAAGGGCCTCTGGGGCTTTCTCTAATCAGTGTCTGTAGCCCCTAGACGTGTGCTGTGTGACCAGGAAAATCCTGGCATTTTACATGGACAGGGTGTTCAAGGACCATCAGGAGCTGAAGCCCCAAATCTTGAGAAGAATCAGCAGCATTGCCAACTCTTTCCTCTACATGCAGAAAACTCTGCAACAATGTGTGAATCACCACATTAGACTTTGAGCATCTATTCCCCGTCTGCCCCAGGGAGGGCCAGGACATGCTGGCCCCAGTCAACCATCTGAAGTGGTTCCTGGAGTCTAAGGAAATTCCCTGCCCTGCCGTCCACGGGGAGAACTGTCGAGAACCTCCTCCACTGTCACTTCTTCCCCAGAGCTTCCTCTTTGACACTTCATCAGACCCTGTTTCCTCGTAAAGAATCCTCCTGGGGTGACCACTTATGTCAAGGCATCCCGTAGTGACCCAGGGCCGGACTGTGAAAGGGGCATGCCAAGCACTTGAGGCTTATCATAAGCATCCCACTAGTTCCTTTGTTTCTGGCCCTTTGAGGTTTCTATACCCATTAACCTCTGGGTGGCTCCCTGGTATGACCTATCCCTAGGAGTCACCTATAAATTCATTGCGATCTGTTCAAAACAAACATCAGAAATAAAACCAAACCCAAACAAACCAACAAAAACTTAGACCAGGAGAAATCCTAGGTTCTAGCCCCATCCCTGCCAATAATTTCCTGTGTGACTTTGTGGCAAGTTACTTCACCTCTCTGTGCCCCGAATTCTAAAATTGTTAGAAGAGGTCATGACCCCCGTCCCACTTACATTAAGTTGTATTTAACCAATTATTTAATTAACTAACCCAAAGAATATTTATGAGTGACTCCCTTGCGGGGTCCCATGTTCACAGAGTGGTGACAGGACATGTTTGACACCTCCTTTCCAGTCTGGTGGGCTGTAAACCCAGAAAAGGCAAAAGCCCTGCTCACACACAGGGTGACCCTACACACAGTCCCCACGCCCCTGCTGTTTCAATCCGAGTTTACGCACCTGGCTCTCTCCTGGGGAAGAGGGGGTGATGTGGTGGAAAGAGTAGGGGAGGCGGGCCGGCCCGTGGCATAGCGGTTAGGTGCGCGCAATCCGCTGCTGGCAGCCCGGGTTCAGATCCCAGGCACGCACCGATGCACCGCTTGTCAGGCCATGCTGTGGCGGTGTCCCATATAAAGTGGAGGAAGACGGGCACAGATGTTAGCTCAGGGCCAGTCTTCCTCAGCAAAAAGAGGAGGATTGGCATGGACGTTATCTCAGGGCTGATCTTCCTCATAAAAAAAAAAAAGAGTGGGGGCAGGGAGAGGTCCTCTGATGGGCGCTGATCTCACGTTCTCATACAGGAGCAGAGGCGGTGTCACTGCAGGCAGGAAGCCGCCAACGCAACCAGAATCATCCATGACCACTATGATCAGGTGAGGGCGGGAAGATGGAGACAAGAAGTGGGAGCCTGTCTGAGAAGCGCCCACCCTTCAGCCTCCTTGCCATCTGAATTCATTCATTTCCTCACAAGCATTTATGTCAGGCCTTCCTATCCCGTGTGTCTGTAAAGAGGATGTTGGTCTTATCTCTTTTGCTAATTTCCTGGACTCCCCTTCTCCATCAGTCCTCTGCCATTTGCTTATACCCCCACATAGCAGACCTAACCTGTGTTAAGTTTTGAGGGAAAACGCATACTGTTTAAGATGGGCTGATACAGAGGGAGCAAAGATGCCTCGTGAATTGTAAGCTGTTATGGATGAACCGTGTTCCCTGCTGGGCCAGTGACGCCGTCAGCACTCTGCGTGTGATAAGGAACGGTGCTTCTCACGTGGACGTCGCTGTAGAACACACAGCTCATATGGCAGTGGAGGCAGAGCAGTGCTTCTTACGTGTTCCATCTGGAGATTGTGTTAAAATGCGGGTTCTGGCTCAATAGGTCTGGAATGAGACCTGAGAGTCTGCATTTCATCGGCACTCTCAAATGATGCCAACGCCTGGAATGGCAAGGAGGTCTGTTCAGAGCTCTGCTTCTTTGTGGAGAGGCTCCTAGGATATGATAACAGCGGCTAAGACCCCTATTGTTCTTACTATGAGCCAGGTATTGCTCTAAGCACACTGCAGGTATTAACAGATTTATTTCTCACCACAATGCTATGAGCCATTATCTGCATTTGATAAATTAGGAAACCGAGGCACAAACAGGCTAAGTAAGTAACTGAACCAAGTTCATACTGGACTAAGTGGTGGGGGTAGACGCGATCCTGCGCTGCCCGGCTCTGCAGGATATACCTGTGGGTCTCACCGTCTTCTAGTCGGCTGAGACAGAGGTGGCATAAGCCAGGGCACTTGGGCTCTAGTTCCAGCTCTGCTGTGGGACGTTGGGTGGGACACTTACCCTTAGGGGCTCCGGTGCTTTAACACGTCGAGAGGGAACAACACGTTCTCCCTACCCACCGCATAGCGAGCGCCACCAGAGGCAGACTTTCTGGGAGAGAGAAGCGCTAAAGCAAACTGGCGCGAAAAGCGAAATAGGTAGAACAGTCCCATAAGGCAAGTTGGTTTCTTTTCCTCCTGTGGAAAACAGGAAAAATAAAAACATAGGGCAAAGGATGAAGAATTTTGTTTATGAGTTGCTGACATGATTTAATTGCTTGTGTGTGGAAAACAATTGGGTTGCATGTTGTGAAAATAATTTTGGGTTTGTATGCTCTGCATATATAATGGATGAATAAAAAGAAAACCTCGTGGGTACTGGAACACGGGTTGAAAGCTATTACCCAGCCTAGCAAGGCAGGGTCTTATGATGCTTTCCTGGTTTCAGCTGGAGGTCCGATCTGCTGCCATTAAGTCTCTGGGAGAGCTCGACATCTTTCTAGCCTGGACTGGCAAGAATCATCAAGGAGCTTCATCTGCCTGATGACAAGGACCCTAATTACCCAGGGATGAAGGCCCCTGGGAGGCTTCCTGTGGGAGATAGCAGAATTGGAAGGGGAGGCAGGTGGGGAAGGCCCCATTTTAATGCAAATAAGCGTCTTTTTGAAGAAACTTCTCTACTGATTTGGAATTCTCTGCTCTGTGGATGAGGTATTGGAGGGAAAAATCAAGGTGTGAGCAGATCTCACCCTGCAGCTGAAAGTCCCAGGCTGTCTGATCCCCCCGAAAGTAGCCGAATCGTCTATGTCATATTTATAATGAAATATGTCTGTTGAAAGGTCCTGTGTGCAGACCATCCTGGAGGGAAAGGGTCAGCTTCCCCTAATTTACTGGGAAGTTGTTTATCCCGTGTCTGTGATGTGAGCTGAGCGACATCCTGCAGTGCGTATTGTACTGACTCATTTTTCTGAATAAACTGTTCTTTACCATGTTGGGGGAAGAGGGAGAATCCCCCTCTGCCCTTTCACTTTAAGGTTCTTATGGCTGGCCAAATAATTAACGACACAGGTTAGCAGGAGAAAATAATACCAAGTTGAATAACATGTATACGTAGGAGAAACCAGGGACACTGCGTTTCTCAACACAATAGCAGAAATTCTCGTCTTAAATACCATGTTCAGCCAATGACAAAGGAGGATGTTGGGGGTGGGGGGAGTCAGTTACAGGAGATTACCACTAAAGCACAGTAAACAAGAGTAAGGTTATTATGCAGATTTAAGGCCTCACCTTCCACATGGATAAGTTTCTAGAAATGAGGTCATCACCCCTCTTCCCAATACAGAGAGGGAGACCTTTACAAATGGAGATTTCCCTTATAAATGTAAATGTTTGTTTGGCAACTCCTCGCAGGGCCATCCAGAGAATGTGGCCAGAGAGACAGAACTTCCGATAAGATGGGCTTGTTGGTGACTTTTCTATTGTAACGTCTATTTCACATTATATTACAGCCATCAGATAGAAGATCTGTTCCAGGAAGGAGTTAACTATGTCAAATTCTTTAGGCAGTTAGTGGGGGAGGTCAAATGTCTGTCAGAGAAAACAATCAAGGTAAAGAGATATATTTCAGAGTGGCCAAATCTTGATCTCCCACAACCAATTAGTGGAAGTGTCTTCTGACTCATGGAGGGTCAGTCAAGGAATCATAAACGGTGACTATTAGAAATGAAAGGGGCCTTAAAGAACATAAATACATGGGGAAACTGGGGCCTAGAGAGGGATAAGAATTCACTCCGAATCTCAAAGTGAGTTAGTGCAGAGAAGCGTTCCAAACTGAGTGTCTAAAGTCTCCATCCAGCGCCCTGTTTTCCCACACAATGATCAGGAAGATGGACGTGGGGCTTCTGACCGCCGACTCCCTGACATCACTCCATTTCTGATCTCCCCTCATTATCTGTGTCTCTGTCTTTTCTCTCTGTCTCTCTGACTTTCTCTCTCTTTGTCTGTCTCTGTCATTTCTTACTGCTCCCAACCTAGATATATCTTTGACCCTAAATTCATCCTCCATGGGTATGTGTGTTGGGCTAGAGAGAGGGATGGTTGTCATGGTGACAAAACTGAACAGGTACAGCACAAGGCATGGGATGTGCTGGGCAGAGGGGCTTGGGCCCAGGCTACAGTGGAGAGAGCCCAAAATGAGCACCCTCTTCTAGATGGACGCTCCTCAGACAGCTAATGACAGTGACAACTGACACTTTCCATGGAGCATCTGCCATGTGCCAGGTGCTGAGCTAAGCACTTCCTATGCACTCTCCTGGGTCAGTGTTTATACTGTAACTGGCTAACTGAAGCATCCTCTCTTTATTCCTACTGAGGAAGAGATGTCACAGAGCATGCTTCAGCTTACTGAGCAGGACCTCTGAAGTCAGACAGACCTGGTTCCAACGCTATGTGACTTTGAACAAATTACTTAACGTCTCTAAGTTTCAGTGTTCTCTTCTGCAAAATCTCAAAGTTCTGTTGTGAGCATTGTGGGAGATCAAGATTTGGCCACCCTGAAATATATCTCTTTACCTTGATTGTTTTCTCTGAGGGACATTTGACCTCCCCCACTAACTGCCTAAAGAATTTGATATGGTGGCTCCTTCCTGGAACAGATCTTCTATCATGATGGCTGTAAAGATAATGTAGGATAGAGGTTACAATAGAAAAGGCACCAAGCCTCTTTTATCAAAAACTCTGTCTCTCCCTGACCACATTATCTATAGATGACCCTGAAAAAAATTGTCTTCCTGCCCTCTGAAGTCCCAAGCCACTACCCGCCCCCAACACGCTCCTCGCCTTTAGCTGCAATACTTAAGCGGGCAGCTTAGACAGAGGGACGAGTTGCTCATTTCTGAGTTTCTCCCATGTATACATGTTATTAAACTTGATATTATTTTCTCCTGCTACCCTGTCTTGTTAATTATTTGGCCAGCCATAAGAACCTTAAGGAAAAGGGCAGAGGGAGATTCTCCCTCTTCCCCCGACAGCATCAAGTGAGGTAAAGGGCCCCCGGGAGCCCCAGCAAGGTGGGAAGCTGCGTTGTGTAGTGTAAAGAGAGACAAGCCAGGAGCCAGGGTCCAGTTTCAAGGCTTCTCCTGCCAAGAATTGCCCAGGGTGTGTCACTAAATTTCTTTGATCATTAGTTGTCTGTAATGTGGGTATTGACCTCTGTACTATCTACTGTGTATGATAGTTGAAAAGCCAGGTCATTACGATGGCCTCAGGAGAGACCTATTAACTGCTCACACTGGCTCTCCAGCTTTGTTTCCCGAAGCCGTGTCCCTGCTGCTTGCCCGGGCTCTCTCCAACCCAGCCATACTGGCCTGGTTTGTGTAGCTCAAACACACCAGGCATGTTCTCGCCTTAGGGCCTTTGCACTTTCCGGGTATGCATACGTGTAAACTGAGGTAGGGTTGGAAAAACCCTCCAATGTTATACTTTATTGGGATTACTAGGCTGTTCAGAGGAAGCAAGGCTGTTTGCAGAGGACTCAACCTTTTCAAGATGACCTTGGATGGACATCCATCCTGAGCCGGCTGGGTGACAGGGCCAGTTTTGTTAGCAGTTTTGACCTCTTAAGGCCGCCCTGGGGTGTGCTTCCCCTGACACCTGCATGGCTGGCACATCTGCCTCCTTCAGACCTTTACTCAAAATGTATCCTGTTTAGGCACAAAACCCCCATTTCCACCTTGAGCACATCTCATACTCTTTCTGCTTTCCTGGCATACTCTTTTGTTTATCATGTTTCCCCACTCAGATATAGGCTACGTGAGGGTGAGCATAGTTTGGTTTCTTCACTGCCTGGAACTTAGCAGATGTGAAATTCACATTTCTTTTCTTTTTCTTTCTTTCTTTCTTTTTTTTTTTTTTTTTTTGCTGAGGATGATTCGCCCTGAGCTAACATCCATTGCCAAACCTCCTCTTTTTTTTTTGCTTGAGGTAGATTATCCCTGAGCTAATTTCTGTGCCAATCTTTCTCTATTTTATATGTGGGTCGCCACCACAGCGTGGTTGGTGAGTGGAGTAGGTCTGTGCCCGGGATCCGATCACACGAACCTGGGCAGCTGAAGCAGAGTACACGGAACTTTAACCACTTGGCCACAGGGCCAGGCCCTAAATTCACATTTCTTGATTCAATGATCTGGATGAATTAAAACAATGAGGATAGCATACATTTATAGTGCTTTCTTTCTTTTTTTTTTATAATTTTATTAATTTTTCCCCCAAAGCCCCAGTAGATAGTTGTATGTCATAGCTGCTCTTCCTTCTAGTTGCTGTATGTGGGACGCGGCCTCAGCATGGCCGGAGAAGCGGTGCATCGGTGGGCACCCGGGATCCGAACCCGGGCCGCCAGCAGCAGAGCGCATGCACTTAACCGCTAAGCCATGGGGCCGGCCCTATATAGTGCTTTCTATAAGCCAGGCAATAGTCTGAGAAATATACATAATATATTACAATATGAATATATATATTTCATTTAATTCTCGTGACAATCCTATAGAACTTCTGAGAATAAAATAAAATGAAAAAGGCCACCTCATTGAAAGCTAGCAATACAGATAATTAAACTCTAAGGAGGAAACCGGGGCACAGAGATGTTAAGTAAGTTACCCGAAGTCACACAGCTCATGAGCAGCAGAGCCAGGGGCTTCCAATCCAGGCAACCTGGTTCCAGAATGAACCATAATGTCAACAACAATGTACATGTGTTGAGCACTCATTATGGGCCGGGCACTGAGGTGAAAGCTTTACTGACAACTTCTCCTTCACTCCTTATGCTAGTTCTCTAAGGTAAAGATTAGTGACCAACTCAGTTATACACGTGAGGAAGTCCGAAGCTTAGAGAGGTTCAACAACACACCCAGGGTCATGCAGCTCGTTGTAGACCTGAGATTCAAACTCAGCTGTCCTACTCCAAAGC